TGTCTTTCAGTTTAAACAAGATGGGACCGAAATGGACAAGGTAGTGAAATGGGGACAGGAGTACTCATATGTTTTTCCAATCTGGTTTGGCCCCTTTCTCAGTATCATCATTATTCAGCATCCAGATTATGCAAAAACTATCCTGACATCATCAGGTGTGAGAAATGTTTTACGTAGTTGTTGTGTTGTTGATGCACATTTATAACTGTGTAGTAAAGTTAAAAGTCCCTAACACCATTTTTATTTGTTTTGTTTCGTAACAGAGCCAAAAGATGATTTTGCCTACCGTTTTGTGGAGGGTTGGATTGGTAAGGCTCATTTGTCTCCCTCCTACAGCATTTTTTTTAAGTGCAGAGTTGTTTGTTTTGCTGCTTTCCTCACTCGTGCACATGTTCTTCAGGAAATGGGTTGTTGGTGTCAGAAGGTCAGAAGTGGTTCCGCCACAGAAGGCTCTTAACACCAGGTTTCCATTATGATGTTTTGAAACCATACGTAAAATTGATGTCAGAGTCTGCTGAGACTATGTTGGTACGTTGAAGACAATTTAGTTGCATAATTGATAAATAAAATCAAAGTCATGATGTGTTGGTCAGCACGTGTCAGTAAATATCATAGAAGTAAAGCAGGAGCAGTGTCTGTATCCTGCAGAGAGATCACATCTTGACAGGGGATTTCTAAGAGAGAAGGTAGGAACGAAGATTGACTAGACAGAGAGCAAGGAAGTGAGGAAAAACAGGAGGATACAGAAGTGTTTAACGTGCATGAACTAGTTACACTGTTAGGAGAGAGACCCATACTAAAAATTGACGTAAATGGCCAACCCATGACTATGTTATGCGACACAGGTGCATGCAAAACTGTGCTAAATCAAAAACCTAATAACCTGAAATTTTCAAAAGAGACCCTGATAGTTAAGTCTGCATCAGGTCACACTAGTGTAAAATCTCTAACAGAAGGGCTACTGCTAGTGCATAGAGAAAGTGGCAGGAGCTGTAAAAACCAATGTATATACGATCCATCCTGTCCAGTCAACCTCCTAGGGAGAGACAGCATGGCGTAGTGCCAGGAGCACAAGACATGCACGCAGAATTAATGTTAAACTATGAAGAGGTAGAAGAAGAGGGACAGATTAATTATAGCAGTGCGGGAAAAGGAGTGCCCCACTACTATTGGACTCTAAACCTTCCACCATTAGAGCCTCTACAGAGGTTGGCAGAGAAGTATTTGCCACCAGACTCCCGACCACTTGCTTTTGATGAGTATCACAACACCCTAAGATTTAAACAAAGCCCAGGCCCAGATCCTTCATATGACACACAAATTCACAGATTAGGCCCACAGAAGCTTACATTGCAGCACCTCTATGTAACTAAAAGTGG